CAGGGGATGTCCGGCCATGCTCCCAGCCCTGCTCCCCCTGCTCCCCATGCCGAAAGCTGAGCAGCTGCTGCCTGCTGGAGGGGAGCCAGCCCCAGTCAGGAAGGGGAGCGGAGTGTGGGGCTTTTATTACCCCGAGTGACCTCATTTCCCAATATGCCCTTTTTCTCACTGTTAATTGCAGCAGGGCCCATCTTCTCAGCCAAATGGGCACAGCTTCAACCTTCAGGCTGGCTTTCCGATTTCCTTTAATGAGATGAAATCCTTAAGACATGAGCTGCCGCAGCTGGTCCCTGCCCCGGGGTGTTCCCGGTCCCTGCCTCTGGGGGTGTTCCTGGTCCTGCTGGGAAGGTGCCTTCAGCCTCTCTGCCTTGTGAAAGCTCGGTGCACATTGCACTCTCTCTGCAGATCAGCTGCCAGCACTGCTCCCTGGCATGCAAGGGAGTGGATCTCACTCTGCCTGCCTGTCCTGCATCCCACAGCCTGTCCCTTATTGAATGCTGAGTCCTGGAATTGCAGGGTGGCACCAAGGATATGCAGAAGCAATGCTGGTCTGCCATCCCTCCTGGAGGGTTTCCCATATCAGAAGGGACTGAGGGTGACCCTGAAGAAGGAGGGAGCACAGAGCTCCTACCCAATTCAGGACTGGCCAGCCTGACCTGCCCTGTCCCCAAATGCTGCATTTCTGGCCTATCCAGTAACAATGTTCTGTGTCTCTTCCAGGGCAAATATGAAGAAAGATTCCTGAAAGATGAAACCATATCCCAGCAGATCAACTCCGTTGAGTCCCTCCCAGAGCTGCACCTCTCTCTGGAGGAAAAGAAACCTGAGCAGCTCTTGCAAAGGAAGCTGAGGGTGAGGACCCGGCCTCCTTCCAAGCCCACCATTGTCCGAGGGGTCACCTACTACAAAGCCCAGTCCACTGAGTCGGAGAATGACATCGAGGAGCAACGTGAGTTGGGTATGCAGCCACGGTCAGTGGGATGGCTGGCTGTGTCCTGTGGAAAAACCAGTGTCCACCCCTGAGTCCTGCCTCATCCCCTGGGAATGCGTGGGCAAAGTGTGTGGGAGCAGCAGCGGGAGGAGGCAGGAGGAGGTGGGGTGACTGGTACTTCACTGCTATGCAGCCTGTGAGCCCTGTATGTGGAGCAATGCAGCATTGTTATTCCATGGAAAATCCCTGCTAGCTAAAGAAATAGGTCACTGCTTCAGTTTAAAACACCCAATACCAACACCTTTCCAAAAGTTTCTGCAGTGGCTGGGGAGCCCCAGTGGTCCACATGCCCTGGATGAGGCACCCCCTTTGGCATCCCAGGTCAGATGGATGGGATCTGGCTGGGCATGCAGCTGGGTTTCCATTCTGCCCCATCTCTGGAGGCTGGCAGGACAGATTTGCTCTCTGTCACCTGCTCTGCCCTGCCTGGGGTGGTGGATGTGGCTGGGAAGGGGTCTCACTGACCTCCTAACGTGAGCACCGTCAGCCTCTGCAGTTCACACAGCCCTTCTCTGACTGGAAGGGGAGAGGGAATGCACGTGGACTTAGTACAAGACAGACTGCAGAAGTGGGCAGGGGGCCAGCATGGAGGGGCCAACATGGAGGGACTGTGGGGTGACACCTGTGTCTGTATTTGGCAGCGGATGAGCTGTTCAGCGGGGACAACACGGTGGACCTGCTGATCGAGGACCAGCTCCTGAGGCCCAACAGCAGGGCGGGCGAGGGTGTGAGGAAGCCCTCCCCAGTGGGATGGCCACCCACCCCTGGCAGTGCTCCCACCACCCCGCCAGCTGCTGACACTGCTGCGACGGCCACGGTGCCCCTGTCACCTGCCACATCCACAGACCCCACGCCAGACCCCAACGCTGTGAGCTGGCTGACCCCCACCCCAGAGACCGTGACTGCCCCAGCAGGGCTGGTGGAGGAGGGGACCCCACAGCTACTGGCAGCTTTGGACACAGCCATGGAGAACCTGCCCCCAGCCACCACTGCTGGGGCCTGGAGTGACATGGAGAGCAGCCCAGGAGTCTGGGGACAGGCAGGCACGCCCCCAACACCAGTCAGCCCCCCTACCCCAAAGGAGGGCCTGGAGGAGGAGGACATCAGGAACATCATTGGTGAGTGCCTGCAGGTCCTGCACCGACCCAGCTGTGCATGTGGGGGCTGGCTTGTGCCCACAGCATGTCCAGCTGGGCTTACTTGCTTATTAATTCTGGAACCTACTGTAGTCTCCCCCAGTTTTAGGGGCTGGGCTGGCCAGGGCAACAAAAGGCCTCCCTGGACATGGACCCAAAACAAGTAGCAGCCTCAGCTGGGACAGGGACATGGCTGAGACTGTGAGGAGATGTTTGCAGGATCTGGCCAATGCTCTGGGTCCTATTAGGCTGCAACTGGGCTGCGGTAGTAGAAGGTACCTGCTGGGTGGGTAAGGGGCTGGAGGGAGGGGATGCCCACCCCAACAGGAGCAGGGAGAGTGTGGCCACCCTGCCTGGGGCCTCACAAGCCCTTCTCTGCCCATGCAGGGCGCTGCAAGGACACACTGTCCACCATCTCGGGCCCCACCACCCAGAACACCTATGGGCGCAATGAGGGAGCCTGGATGAAGGATCCCCTGGCCCGGGAGGAGCGGATCTATGTCACCAACTACTACTATGGGAACACGCTGGTGGAGTTCAGGAACCTTGACAATTTCAAGCAAGGTGGGTTTTTTCACCATTTCCGATGCCACGCTGGCTGCTGCTTGGCTGATCCAAGTAGCATCCTCCTTCCCAGGGATACTGGATCATGGGGGAGTGATCTGCCTGGGGACCCCCTATCCTGGGGCCAGTACCTGGGTTCAGAGCATGGGGCAGGTCAGGCTGCAGCTAGTGGCCGTGGAGGGAGCGGAGGCAGAGCTGGGGGCAGAGGGTGCTGACAGCAGGGCCACCCACCCCAAAGCAGAGGGAGGGTTTCACCAGTAAGGTGTCTCTGCCCTGCAGGTCGCTGGAGCAACTCCTACAAGCTCCCATACAGCTGGATTGGGACGGGACATGTTGTCTACAACGGCTCCTTCTACTACAACCGGGCCTTCACGCGCAACATCATTAAGTACGACCTGAAGCAGCGGTACGTGGCCGCCTGGGCCATGCTGCACGACGTGGCCTACGAGGAGTCCACCCCGTGGCGGTGGCGAGGCCACTCAGACGTGGACTTTGCTGTGGATGAGAATGGCCTGTGGGTCATCTACCCGGCCATCAGCTATGAGGGCTTCAACCAGGAGGTGATCGTGCTGAGCAAGCTGAACGCAGCCGACCTCAGCACCCAGAAGGAGACCACGTGGAGGACAGGGCTGCGGAAGAACTTCTACGGGAACTGCTTTGTCATCTGTGGGGTCCTGTACGCGGTCGACAGCTACAACAAGAGGAATGCCAACATCTCCTATGCCTTTGACACGCACACCAACACGCAGATCATCCCCAGGCTGCTCTTTGAGAACGAGTATGCCTACACCACGCAGATAGACTATAACCCCAAGGACCGCCTGCTCTACGCCTGGGACAATGGCCACCAAGTCACCTACCATGTCATCTTTGCCTACTGAGACCCTCCCACCACAGTAGGGCACTGCAAGCCAGGGGCCACCAGCACCTTTTATTATTATTTTTATTGTTATTATTATTTTGTACAAATCGAAGAGTAAATGATGGGTTTTGTTTCAAGCTGGTTTTTTATGGTGGATTGTAGATCGATCCCCAGGCCAGAACCACCCCCTTTGTCTTTGCTGTATCCTTGCTTCTGATTTTCCTTCCCAGGGGAAGGAGGTTCTCCTTCAGAATGGCAGATGGGCCCTCCTGCCCAGGGAAGAGGAGGTGGCCATGGTCCTCCTGATGATGTTTTTAGCTGAAGATGATCAGCAAGACACCCTGAACCAGTACAAAGCTGGCCTCTCTGCTGTGGGCACCAGGTCCCAGCGGAATGCTGATGTCTGCCTGCCCTGGTGGAGGACCTGTGTGTCCCATGGGAATGTCCCATCTCTCAGGACCATCTTCCCAGCTTCCCTTTGGAGATCCTGCTGTACAATGGGGCTGTGAGCGCAGCTCCATCAGCCCCTGGTGCTGGCACTTACGCCAAGGACTGTCCCCTCCAGCTTGGGCTCTGCCCTTTGCAACCCCCTCGGGGGGTTCGGGTGCACCTTCAGCCCTGATTCACAGCTGGAGTGAGCTGGTGGCAGGAGGGGGATGCTGTAAATACGTGTAGATGGCTTTTGTTTGTTCATTTTGTAACCTAAAGTAGTCCCCCTTGGCATTTGCTGGTTGAAGGCTCTGTTCAGCTGGGCACTGGGCTGCCTGGGCAGGGGGCTGTGGGGCTGGGGGAGCCCCGGGGGCTGGAGAGCCCTTGTCCTGCTGCTCCAAATCCTGCATTGCCTCTTGCTGCCGTGCTCAGCCTGGTCCTGGCTGTTGACCATCGGGATCCCCTCACAGAGGCAAAGCCCTTGCCCTCCTGCCTACCAGCATCTTGTATTTACCTGCTGTCAGTAATAAAGGATCCAGTACCTTTGCAGCTGTTTGGGGCTTTCTTTGGCTCTGGTTCAACCCTTTGGGTGCATGGAAATACATGGGGGTGTTTTGGATTGGTTTTGGTTGGTTTGGGGAGACCCAACTTTCACACCAAAGGGGGAGGGACCCTAGGGAGCTCTAGGCCACTTGGAACTGGCACTGGGCCAAGGTGACATGGTCATGTCCAGCCCTGAAGAGCTTGTCTTTGTGATGTCAGCTGCACTGGGGTCACTCGGGCTGCAGTGAGACCCTTGTGGCCTTCTCTTTGCCAGGTTCCACTGGCAAAGCGGAGGAGCTCATGCAGGGTGCCCTTCTCAGGAGCAGGAGGGAGGTCTCGGTGCATGTGCCATGGGCAGTGCCAATGCTGTGCTGAGCAGAGTCATGCTGCAGCCCAAGAGACAGCAGACACAGCACAGGCCTTCTAGTCATTTGCCTAAGGAAAACAGCATTAATAAGCACAATAACAACGAATATTAATAATAAATAAAAGAAGGATTTTATTGCCTTCAGTGCCAGGGACACAAAGAACAGAACTACACAGGATGAGAGATGCTCTCCACCACTGGAGCCCATGGTGCTGACTGAGGATGCAGTGCTGTAGCAGTCCTGAGCCCCCAGCCTCTACCAGCAGCCCTTCCCAACGTGCTGGGCTGTGCCAACCCAGTAAATGCCCCCCACAGCAGTCAGCCATCCCTTCCTGGGACTGCAGGGGAGCTGTGTGCCTCTGGCTGGGGCACTGCTGGGGTTTTTATTTTTGAATATTGTGTGAGCTGGCCCACAGTCAGGTGGGGCCGGGGCCAGGAAAACGAACTGGTGCAAGGAGTGCAGCCAAACCCCTTGCCGAGCCCGGCTGCTTCCCAGCCGCGCGAGCGCCGAGAGGATGGGGGGGCCTGCGCAGCTTGCGCCGAGTACGTGGCAAAGGGCAAAGTTTTTCCATGGTGTTGCAAGGCACATACTTCACAGGGGTGTATTGCTCCTCATCCTCCTCCTCACTGCCCCTGGAGCTGTTTGTCTTGCTGCTGGATCAGCTTTTATTTCCTAACAGCCACACACACACACACTAATAATAATATTCATAGTTAAAAACCCCACACGAGCCAGTCAGTGCTCAGATCATGAAGGGAAGGCAGCTGGCTGGCAAACTGAAGCCCATCATCTTCTGTGTGAACTGTAAAGGGGAAGAAAAATGCTGTAACATGCTGAAGTCATTATGAAAGGCTGATGCTCTGCTGGCTCTCATCCCGGCTGAGCACCTCAGTGCCCAGCTCCTCGGCCCAGCTCCGGCCTGGGGCTCGGCCGGCAAACGTGGGACAGACTGAACACAGCTCCACACTGGTTTTGGAACAGCAGCAGTCGGCTGCAGCTCCATGTTTGGGGCAAACAGCACAACCCCCCACTGCCTGGCAGGTGCCTGTCAGTGCTGGGAAGGCAGAGAGGGTGTGTGGGGCTGAGTGTGCATTACGTGTGTGTGGTTTCAGGAGGAAGGTGCTGTGACTGTGTCCCTCTGAACTGAAGCAGCCCTTCTGCCCCAGCGGGGCCAGTGCTGCTCCACAGGCTGTTGTTAGCAGTGAAAAGTATTAAATAGCACACACAAAAAACAACCCAAACAAAAAACAGGAAAAAGAAACCAAACCCAAGAAACCAAAAACTTTGCAAATGCATCTGCTGCATTAAATCACCTCCCCTGGGCCAAGCCCCAGCCTTTAGCCAAGCAGCCACGTGGGCTGGGGAAGACAGCAGCAGTGTGCAGGAGAGTGCACAGACTTGAGGAGGTGTGGGGGGTGTGCACTGCCCTGTCAGTGTGGGCTGTGGTGCTTTAGTTGTAAGTGTAGGGTCCCACCTCCTGGGTGGCAGTGGCTGGGCTGCCCCACAGCACTACTACTGCTGCCCTGGGAAGCATCCCAGGGCTCCCCAGCGAGGGAGGTTGCACAGGCAGGGATTTGGGCAGCTGTGGGGGTTGATGTGGAGTGGGGCTGCCCGGTCAGGCCCAGCACAGCCATTCTGGAAGAAGAGGGATGCTCCTGGGGTGCAAGACCAGGGCTGGGTGGCTGGCCCAGCATGGGGTGTAGGGCTGCAGCAATCCCTGCACCTGCAGCTGGGAGCTGGACACTGCTTCCTGCTGCTGCCCATCGCACACTGCAGGGAGAGAAGCCTGATCTCAAGCATGGGCGTCTGCTGTGATGTCTCTGGGCAGGACATCAGGGTTCAGCACACCACCTCAGGAGGCAGCCTAACAGGGACAAAAATTGAAAACAACCTACAGTTTTGGACAATGCATAAGTAGCAGGGATGGCCCGTGTGCCCCCCACACCAGCCCTGGGCACCAGCTGCTGATGCTGACCCCAGGACTGCAGTGGTGCCTCACCCACACCTCTGGCACCAGGCACTGCTGCATGGGGCCCCCAGGGCTGAGCTGCATAATCCCTGGACAGGATGTGGTGGTTGGGTAGGGTCAGGCACAGGAATGGGCTCAGGGGGACTGCCCCTGCTGTGCTCATGTGCCAGGAGCCCCAGGGCCCTGCCAGGGAAGGGCTCAGTCTGGCGGCAGGACCTGCTGCATGTTGGATGCACTGGCTGTGCACTAAACCAGGAGCTACTGTGGGGATTTGACAATGGCCCTCAGGGCATGGGGCATCTCTGGGACGGAGGGGGACGAGCTGTAGAAGGTGTCGGTGTGATTTCTGCGCTGCTCTCGGAGGTATGGAGGGACAGATGAACTTTTGATGTGGAGGATCCTGGTGTCCATCACTTCACAGTCAATCTGCATCATCACCTCATAGTCCTGCCCATTGATGACATTCTCTGCAAAAGTAAGGATAAAAATAAGGTGAGAGTTAGCCCTGCAAGCTAATGACCCAAAAGTGCCAAAAGCAGAGCTTTCTGGACCTTTTTTTTTGTCTGGAGCAGGAGCTGGAGGGGGAGAACTCCCTTCCTTTATACAGCTCCACACATGGAGCTCCATCTCACACAACATGGCCCCAGCCTGCTTGTGACACCTCAAAGGCCCAGGTCACACTTAGCATGTGCAGCCACACTTAGAAACTAATATGTCTTTTATTTTCCCTTCCTTCATCTGCACATAATTACCGGTGGAGTTTGCGCTGTACAACATTTATTACAGAACTGTTGTTCTTGAGCCACTAGAGTGTGGGGGTGATTGAAGATAAGGTTTATTTAAGAAAGCTGAATGTTTCACTTTGTGTAACCCTCTTGACACTGAGGATCTAGAGGAATTTCTTCATCAGATTATGAATTTAAAAAAGCTAAAATGTGATCTCTCAAAAGAATTAACTGTGCCTTGTTACCGTCCTGACCTGGTTGTTGTTCTTGGGCGATGTGGTGACACTGGGCAAGGCCACTATACTGAGAGACCTCTGGACACAGGGAGACCCAGACCAGCACAAGGGACCCTGGCTGCATCACCCTAGTGTGGCCCCAGGCCCGGCACATCTGCTGCTGCAGAAGCTCCTGGGCTTACAGGCAGAGGCTGTGCACATGGCCAGCATCTGCTGCCTGGATTTAAAGGTGGGAGACTACTCCCTGCATAGACAGTGTGCCCAGGAATGCAAGTTTGGCTTTCCAGGCACGACTAATCCTTGCCTTTCAGAGTCAGAAGACTGCCATTGGCAGGGTTCTCCTTCTGTGCTAAGGAGGATGGAAGATCACCTAATGGAAAGCGCATGGATTGGAGGAATGCAATATACATTACTAATTTTTACTGTTTTCCTGGATTAACTCTGACTTTGGATGACAGCTGACAACCATGGTCGGACCCTCTTGTACCCCACGCCACCTGTAGAAGCCATTAGATCAAGTATGTCTGGTATAGAAATGAAAAGCAGTAGCAAACCCCTGCTAAGGGGGCTGAGAGCCTGCAAGGGAAATCAAAGCTCCCACCTGCAAGAAATGAAATGGAAAATGCTCTGTATGTGCCACCGAGACACCGAAGAAAGGAGCAGCTGTGCATGTCTCTGTGCCACTGACCCAAAAACCCTGACAAGCTCCTCCTCCCTCCTGTATGCCGTGCTGCTGATAAAGCCCTGCTGTGACTTCAGATGCTGTGCCCCCAGCTGATCCCCCCACAGGAGGGCCATCCCTCCAGGTCACCCTTTCTCTCAGCACACCCAAAGGGATGTGCTCTCAGTTCCCACCCAACAGACCCAGCACCAGAGAGCAGAGGGGGTTGGTGGTGCTGCTCAGGACAGGGGGCTGCACGGGGGAACAGAGGGGCATGAGGGGAAGCAAAGAGCCTGGAGACAGCAAATGGGAACAGATGGGTTCCCCTAGAGACACAGTTCCTCAGCCTCATGCTGCAGTCGATAGGACCCCAGGGACCCCAGCTATGTGAGAAACAGTGCTCCAAAGCCTCAAGTGGGTGAGGTGGGATGGTACAGCGGCCAAGACCAGGAAAACCCCTTGGTAAGGCAGGGAAGAGTTTCCTGTGTCTGCCCACAGCAGCCAGCACAGCAGGCTATCATTAGGTTCCCGGGCATTGCACAAGACAGAGGAGAACAGCAACACCAGGAGCAGCCCATGCAAGAGAGGGAGCTGTGTCACGTGGGTGGCAGAGGGGAGCACGGGAACCAGCTCAGCCCATTCTGGACAGCTGGGATCCCGCTTCTCCCAGCACTGACACAGGCTCCCTTGTGACTACCTGTACCACGATTAAGTAAGCCATAGTCCTGCTACCCCCATGGCAAGAGGTGCTGTGTCTTCTTAGGCTACCACAGTTGGGAATAATCACGCTCATGACGAGCCTCTCTGGCCAGCAGGCATGGAGGGGACACACTCCCCCAACTCAGACATTCACAAAGTGCCTAAATCCTGCCCTGGGCCTGTGAATTAGCCCAGGAGTTACAGGCAGGTTTAAAGAAAGCATCTGATTCTTTCCCTTTTTGGGGTGAAGGTATTGTTGATGATGAGCTGCTGCAGGGAGCCTCTGCAAAGGATTTAATCTCGCAGGGATGAGGGCAGTAGCAGGAATGGCTCAATTTCCACTACAAGCATTTCCAGCAGCCTTTTTCATTACCATTAGCTCCAAACTGACTTAGAAGAGGAGGTGGGATGTTCTGCAGAAACAGCAGTTACTTGATGCTGCTGCTGGGTGCCTGGACCAGCTTTGTTTCAAGGAGTGGTCTGGAAATCCACTGGGGATTTCCTGAGGATGCCTGGCCTCTATGGGGAGCCCTGCCTGGCCCACCCCAGTCCAGAGGGTGGAGAGGCTGATGCTCTGTGAACATCCATGGTCTGTGATGGTCTCAGCAAAACAACAGGCAAACGTGACCTGAATGCAGCACAGTCTCTTGTTTGGGAAGACTAGCTCAATGTCATTGCAAAAAATGATTCCACATGGCTCTGTCCTGAGTTCGATGCCATTAAACTGCTTCATGATCTGGATGAGGAACAGAGAACACACTTATAAGATTTCTGGAAGATGCTAAACTGGAGAGATTTCAACCATTTTGGAGTGGCTGGATTGGATGAGACTGCAGTTTTGATAAAAGAGAGAGGCTGTCCAAAATCTTCAGAATGCATTTCAACCATGGCCAGAGGGAAGTACAATGCTCAAGAGAACTGGAAAACATAAGTAAAAATGGGGCTGGGCAGAAGCCCTGCAGAAAAAGCTTGAGGACTGCAGAGCATCACTGTGCATAAGCCAACAGCATGACAGGACTAGAAACTATCAGCCCCACTCAAGAGAAACAGGTTTAACTTTGACCGAGTTTGTGATGATAACAAAACACAAGCCCTGGATGAAAGTACCCTGGGAGACCAGAGGATCTCCGAAACTGGCAGTTTTTAAGGAAAGACTGGATGACTGCCTGCCCATCAAGATATGGGGTACCTAACCCTTGCTCTGCACAGATACTTGAAGTTGCTCCTGCCTTTCTGGGAGTGCAGGTGACTGCTCAAGACTGGAGCTGTGCTGTCTTGTGTAACCCTCTTGACACTGAGGATCTAGAGGAATTTCTTCATCAGATTATGAATTTAAAAAAGCTAAAATGTGATCTCTCAAAAGAATTAACTGTGCCTCGTTACCGTCCTGACCTGGCTGTTGTTCTTGGGCGATGTGGTGACACTGGGCAAGGCCACTATACTGAGAGACCTCTGGACACAGGGGGACCCAGACCAGCACAAGGGACCTTGTGAGCAAGAGGGCAATATCACAGAATAGGACAATTTTTCCTGGTCATTCCTCTGTCAGATGTTTTAAAAAAGCCTGGTCAGGCTTTCTTTCCTTCCCCTCCCACGGGGCCATCCAGCAGTACCAACATCTGGGAGACACCAGTGGAGCAGAAGGCGGGTTTTCCAGAGTGTCCATGCTGGGTGCTGAGCTCACCAGCTGCGTGTGGCTCGTCTCTGCAGGGGTCAGTGTGCACAACCAGTGCTCAGATCAGTGTGTACTGCCCTGCCTGAGCATGCCCCCATCACACCTCCCAGGGGGGCACAGGGGTGTCTGTGAAGCAGGGCTGACAGCCCCAGGCTGCTGCCTGCTGCTCTTTGCTGGTTGGAAGGTCAGCACTGCCAGTGTGCATTACACAGGGCTGCCTAATAGCCCAGAGCAACGCTGACACTGAGTGATTTCCAAAGTTTATTGTATTGAATTACGTATGACTGATGTTTTGTGGGATTACGTAAGTGAAAACACAGGAACGGATCTCCTGTAGAGGTGTCTGGATTTATAAATAGATTTATTGCTCCTCTTTGAAGTTCAGAACATACACTTTCTCACATGGTACAGCCTCAGGCTTAAGAAGCTATCCTTGCTGTGCCAAGAGACCGCATTGCAGTTAATTATTTGTTAACAGGTTTAAAAGCCATGCTTCAGATGATTGACTATTTCAAATTAACAGCAAAGGTAGTTGTGCCAAGCGTTGCTGCTCTGACTGCACCTTCCCAAAGAGCCTCACTGGCTCTCACGGGCTGTACCAAACTCCCAGCACGAGCTTGGTCTAGGAAACAGAAACCTAATTCCCAGTGCTGCTCCCCAGGGTCTAGGGCAACTCCCCTTATAAAAACCCATGTTGTCAGATCCCACAGATGAAAGCTGAAGTCTGCGGTCCAAACCAAAACCAAAAAATAAAGCTGAGGGTATTAACTACTGTTATAAATTACTGAAGATGATGGAGGATTGTCTTCATATTTGAAGCATTAGATTTTCAAAACTGTCTTATTAGAAAGGCCGTAGAACCAGACCCCTTTCTTCCCTCAGTAGCACTGACATGTATCCATCAGTTGACTGTTTAAATGTCTGTGAGATCAGGCATCTACTTCTACAAGAAATGCTGTCTTAGGGAAAGGCAGAAGACAGGTAGAGGGCTTGAAAGGCAGGTAATGCACTAAGTCAGAACAAATGGTGATGTCAACTGCCTCTCTAGACTTCAACTTTACACATATCATTGGGCTGTTTGGCCCTATGGACACAGTCATAAGACAGAAGATGTAATTCTGGTAATTTACCCTTTCCCACTCACATACACCTTCCCAAGAAAGCTTAGCTGCAGGAAAATGCTCATTTTGAAAACTGTAGTTTGCACTGCAGCCAGAGGCTGAAACAGAGCTCCCCTGAAAGGCCACCTGAGCTTGCTGGAGTGTTTCAAGCTGTAACCAAACACTATGGAAAAGCTTTACAGCTTTCTGAAGGCACACTCACGCTTTAGGTACATTTATAGAGCCTTATTCTACCAGAACAACTATGAATTTTATCTTACTCTGGGCAGTGCCTCAGTGGATTACAAAAAAATATTCTGTATTGGTCCCAATACTCAGGGCCTGATGACCCCAATCCTCAGACTCTTTTC